CCTCAGATGAAGCACTGCCTCGTTGTGATGGATCAGCGTGTTCAGAACCTCCCCTGTATTTACATCCCAAACTCTGCGAGAGAAAAGAAGGGATCCCAGCTGAAGGGGGATGGCTCTGCAGGGCAGGAACCTGCACAGTCTGTCTGAGCTCTAACAGAGCTCTCTGGCTCTTTAACCCCTGCCGGGGCCTGGGGGAAGCAGCGAGATGAGTGCTGGGAAGTATTCTTGTCACACCTCACACCCCCAAATAACAGCTAACAGCAGCACACAATTAGGCAGGAAATGACCACTGCTAAGAGAACCAGCTACTCAGCAACTCTACAAACTTTTCCAGGATGACTTAAGTTTGTATGATGGAAGAGATCAAAACAAACACTGTCCATATTGGTGTTTTCCAGTTTTATACCATTCATTCAGATTTCATCCCCACCAGTAGCAACTGGAACGCAGCACCATCCAGAGCCACCTACCAGCTTACCTGAAGTGTAAAATCACCACCTAATTTACTGTATTTGAAGGGGGTTAAGCTCTTTTAGGGAGACTGGCACTGGCAGATCAATGCCACACACTAGACGAGACAAGGCCCTTCCACTGAACTGCACCTGAGTGTCTTCATACTGGGACATCTACTCACCATTAAGATCACAGAAGAATCTAAACTCACTGTGAGCAAAATTGCAGTCAGACAAATGCTCCATACGTACTAAATACCCTTTCAATAATAGTCACAACTAAGAGATGTCAGAAGGCAGTACAATAAACCCTAAGAAGAAATTATTGTACAGTTGGCCATCAGCCACTCTAAAACTTCAGGATATGCCTTGAATCACTCAGGTCATATTCCTTCAAAATTCTTAAAGCTAAAAACACGAGACAGATCTGGAAGAAAAACTATTTAATGAGATGCTCTGCCAAGTATAAATATCTTGCTTCTGGAATAATAGTATCACATTTGTATTACGGATGTCTTCTGATATTTAGAGATTAATTGTAAATATTCCCAGCCCTGATACTCACATTATCTTTGTGCAAAAACTCGGCACTCACCTCACTGTAGAATCTGAAGATCCAGTTACAATGACTCTTTCATCATATTGCAGACAAAGAACTGAGCCAGTATGTCCCGTTAATACTTTTAAACATTCCAAGCTTGTTTTGTCCCAAATCTGTTAAAAACAAGGAGGATAAGTGGCTTATCAAGATCAAGAACATGGATCCAAGAGTTGAAAACTGTCCTAACTGCAAAGGAAGGAGGAAAACTAGAGCCCCATGAGGAGTGAGTCTGTCCCGTCATGGGCCTCATCCTTCCTTTCAGCTTAAGGTAAGTCTTGATGCAAGTTTGGTTTGAAACGACCAACCATCATGGAAAGAGCAAATCCCGTCTGGCAAAAGGAAAAGCCATGGACAGTGAGCATGGAAGCAAGCTGGCAGCATGCCAGCAAACTCCTGGCAATGCCCCCAGTGCCAGTGAAGGACAGCAGCACACACACCCTGCACCCAGCTCGTGCCAACACTGACCTCACGAGAACGTCTCTGTGGTGGACAGAACCAATCCCTGGCTGGCAGTGCCCAACGTTTCCAGAGCAGAGTGCAGGTGCCAACTTTGCCAGGCTCCAGCAGCCGTGCCACCCTCCCAAACCCTGCCCAGATAAACCCTGTCCCACCAGGAGACAAGGGGAAGCCAGGCAGCACAGGCAGCCAGCTCTGCAGTGTTTACCTTGATGGAGTTGTCTCGTAGGCCACTGATGATCTTCTCATCATCATACTGTAAACAGTAGACCCCTTTGCTGTTCTCGGAGCGGCACTGGATCCTCTGCAGGTTGTGCCGCCCACACCGCCAGTTGGATTCTATGGTCTGGGGGCAGAACCAGGAGTGAGTGCCAGCACTGCAGCAGGAATGCTCCAACACACACACACAGCTCTCTGCTTTGAAACATGCCATCCTTAATCTGACCTATGCAAAGCCTAAATGAATCTTTTCTCCCTCCTCAATAAGAACACACGGACCACAATGAATTGGAATTAGCACTTCTGTAATTTGCCATGACTAAAGTTGTGTTTAGTGGGGGAAATTATGGTCAGGCCACCTTAGTGACAGTTTCCCAAGGGGCCACTGCAGAGATACATCCAGTTCCCCCTTCCCCCATATTTATGTGCTCATCTGACAGCAGCAGCAAAGATGAAACCAGGAGCTCATACAGTGCCATGTTTAGTCTCCCCTGAGAGACCAACATTACAAAACTGCTGAGTCCAGCAGGTGGGTTGTGTGAGTTCTTGGACATTTCTTTCCCCTACCCAGCCATATCAACTCTTAATTGTAGTCACACGCCTTAGAAAGGGATCTTGAGATATAAAAGCCTCCTCTAAGCCCCTTGAAGCCTGATAAAAATAAAACTGAACAGGGACTTTACAGTGTTTCAAACAATCCAAAGCTGCTCTCCCCCTGCTCCTGCTTAAAATCTGTGGAAGGGAAGTTCTCCACCTTTGCATTGAGAGAGATTTTCAAGGAAAGAGACCTGGCATGCCTTAAAAAGCTGTGAACTATTTGACAGTAGAACCAGGATAATTTTTGTGTTTTAATCAGCTTTATTACTTGTTAGACAACCACTGCTGGTTTCAAAGCCATGTGGGATTTTGGACAGGAAGCTCATAACAACCATAAGGGAATGTGTGCTCAGAACTCCAGGCCAACACCTGCAGCACCTGGACAAGCTGGAATGTTTTCACCTTCCAGCAGAGGCACCAGGTCAGGCCACTTATTTAGCAATTTCTCAGGGATTCTCCCCAAATACCGCAAGGAATCCAGGGGAGAAGCTGATGGACTGCCAGTTTGTTTGGAAAAGCATATTTATAACCCATATAATCCTATAATCCCAACTTTCAAAGCAATAGTAGGCACCTCTGCAGCTCCTCCAAGACTCAAAACCAACACTCAGCAAAGACAGAAGTGCAGCGTGACTACGACATCCCAATTCTAGGAAAGCATGTCTGCTTCAAGGGAAAACTAACTTTCCACTTTTTTTTTCCTGCATTTGCTCCTTCAATTGTCTCCCATTATGCAATTTGGAGAGAATTATACACAGTCATAATACAAACCTGATGTGGCCCAGGAATTTCTCTAAATCATAAATACTAAGAGATGCTTCCAGAGGAGCAGCTGACAAGCCACTCATCCCCTCTCATTCTCTTCCAATTTGGTGGGGAAGCTGATGAAATTAGGATAATGAGGCGGCTGTCAGTTTGGGATCAGCTTCCCTGGCCAGGCAGTGCACTGCTGATTGTTAGACTGGGGACTGGGCTCCAGTCTGACACTGCTCTGCTACAGCCTTGCAGGGAGCAGCCTCCTCATTACGCTCCTTGCTCAGCATGGGTTGGAGGGGGAAGGACAGGCAATTTTCAGGCTTTATCTGAAGATTTCTCATCTGCACTAAGTGGGCAGGACTGCAGCTCATTAACTCCTTTGCTGCTCCAGAGGTGACCCTCAGAAACAGGAGAGGACTGTAAGCAATGACAGCATGAACCAGTGTAATTACAGATCTGAAGGCAGAAGATTTAAAAACGCAACAGTAACACTGACGAGACAGGAGATAAAGCATCAGAGACCCGAGTCAGCCAAATTCAACAGTTTTACAAACTATCTGTGTTCAGATATTCGAGTCTAAGAAGCCTTAGAGCCCCGTCCTTGGAAAGCTGTGCAGGGTGCAGTTGCACAGAGCCCGTGCCAGCTGAGCTGCGAGAGCTCCCACAGTGTGAGCACTTTCACACTGCAGCTTCCTGCGACAGCCACTGCCCACGGCCCCACAGCACACTGGGGGCACCACAAACCCCAACTGCTCACAGTGCCCAAACACAGCAGCAGTGGAAGTTCACTCAGCAGACACCGGGGACACAGGATGCCTTCGTTCTTACAGACTCACTACAGGAAGCCACTCGACGCACTCCCTGGAAGAAAATGCTGGCTTCCAATGAAGGAAACTGAGGTCCCATGCACATCCCTGTGAAGGCACTGCAGAGCAGTAAGTCACATGCAGGTGCACATTTTAATTCTGTGAATAGAGGTCACTTCATGCAGACATTACATGGGGTGGCTACTGTGGGAAAATCCTGCATGTTTGTTGAGAACTTGTAAAATCCCCTTACACTGCGTAAATTCTCGGTGTGCTGGGAAGGCAGCCACCATCCACAGAGTACACAGCAGCGTTTCAATGGGCAGCAGAGTGAAACCAGATGTGCATGTATGGAGAAATAACATTATTTTAGATGACTGAATACGGCTGAGTGGGTGGGCAAACCTGGAGGACCCTCCGAGAAGGAACATGGTTAATACAATACTGGAAGCCACATGAAAGCTTCTTGCTCCAGGAGATTTCTGGTTGTTACTCAATAGTGCCCTTAGGAAAAGTCTTCATCTGCAACCCCCTTCCAGGAGATATGTTATAACCATGGATACACTGAGCAGGTGGGCAGGGAGGAGATCCCTGTGCTCATGGACTCTCACAAACACCAGGGACACAGTAAAGAGTCCCACTTGTGTGTTTATGGTTCCAAACCCAACACCAATATATTCAACACCCACTACTGTATTTTCTACAGATCCCCTCCCAAGTCTCCAAGATAACTGCCTCTGTTCTCGGCCTTCACAATTAACAGCAAAATGTTGCAGAACAGTCTCCTGAGGTCACGTTTAGTTCTCACCCTTTGCTAAATGCTCACCAGAGCAACAGCAGCAAGTAGCTGACAAATGTACAACCAGCAAAATCTGGGCATACAAGGGACAAAGACCATTTGCCACAGCAGGAGAGTCATTTGGCAGCTGAAGTGGTGCATAAATAGATATGAAAAAAAGGCATTTAATGAGAAAAGTGCACACAGAAAAAGTAGTCCAAGATGTAGAGGCAAAGCCAGGCCCTGACCATGCCACAGTATGTTCACTGGTACAAAGATGCACAGTGAAAAACGATGCAGTTCATCTGGATTAACAGCTGGAACTATACATTAGAATAGTTAAGGATAACCTACTGGGAGCAGGGTTTTTTCCCCCTGGATAATGTACACTGTGTTCAGCTCCTTGGCTAACAATTGCATTTTTATCCTTGTGAATGTTATTGCAGAGTAAGTGGGTTTATCTTAATCCCATAAACCAAGGAGTTTCTGTTCCCTCTGAATGCACAATTCTCCTACAGGACAAACGGGGCAGGAAAAAGAAGAAGGAAGGTAACATTTGTTATGTTCACAGGGGTTTCTCTGACACATGAGCTCTTCACATGCCTTCTTCAAAGAGAAAAAACTCCTCCTGCCCATGGCAAGGGAAAGGCAGAAGTAAATGAACTTACGTCAGCAGGGTAGAGAGACAAAACCTGTCAGTGCCTCTAGGAGAGAGGAAGGAGCACTGCAAACCACCCACCACCACACCCTGCCATTTATTTTCCTACTTCTGCACCAGGGGAGGCTCAGGTTGGACATCAGGAAGATTTTTTTCATGGAAAGGGTGGTCAGGCCCTGGCAGGGGCTGCCCAGGGAGGGTTGGAGTGCCCAGCCCTGGAGGTGTCCAAGGCAGGCCTGGCCGTGGCACTCAGTGCTCTGGGCTGGGGACAGGGTGGGGATGGGGCACAGGGGGGATCCATGGGCTGGGAGGGCTTATCCAACTTAATTTAAGGATTTTATCCTTAAGGACACTGCCTTGCCCTATTAATCCTCTCATCCTATCCCACAAAAAGCCTGAAGCAACCTGATCAAAGATCATCCAGTCCAACCATTCCCCAGCACTGCCAAGGTCACCACTGTAACCCCTGTCCCCACGTGCCACATCCACAGGGCTTTTAAACCCCTCCAGGGATGGGGACTCCTCCTGCCCTGGGCAGCTGGGCCAGTGCTTGATGGAGAGATTTTCCTGACATCCTAAACATCCCCTGGTGCAACACGAGGCCGTTTCCTCTGGTTCTGGCCCTTGTTACCTGGAAGAAGAGACCAACACTACCCTAAATTATCTCCAATTAAAGCTAAAAACAGCAGAAAACAAAGTGTTACATGGAAGAAACTGTTGCCATGTAAACAGTAAGAAATGAAATAAATACATGGAAATAAACCCAAACAAAGGTTAATTCACAGAAGTGATCAATTGGGTTTTGGTATTTACATCACTTTATGCAAATAGAAGAGTCAAGTAAGAATAAAAACCACATTCACAAAGAGTAACTGTAGCAAGTCAAACAGAGAAACAGGGATTCACTACACCCCACCAATATATAAGGAATATTAATTTTATACACATGTATGCAGATATTTCAAGTTCAGCATGCACTGTTTAATACAAGCAGAAGTGCCCACTTACACACACAAAAGGGGGGAAATTTCCAGTCACTGAACAGTGGGCTTTGGCATGATTCACAAAAATCCCAGGATACTCAGGCTGTTTTTAAGAACAGCCCCAAACATATGTGAGGCCAAAAACACAGGAGGGCATTACTGAGAGCTACTCACACCTGAACATTACGTGGGCTTTCAGCTCAGTCTGAACAAAAGAGCCCTTCCAGGATGGACTCCCAAGACAGAGGAAAAGCTGTCAAGAGCAAAATCCAAAAATCCAAACAACTCTAGAGCAAAAGGAAATGGAAGTTTTCCCCAGTAAGTGTCTTGGCAGAATTTGAGGCCTAAGATCCAAATGTGACAACACAAACTGATGGAGTGTGGTCCCTTCCTGCATGAGACTGATCAAAGGTCCACAAGTGCAACCATTCCAACCTCGCTGCAGCTTCACTGGACCCTTTTGAAAGCCACATTTTAAAGGAACAAATCAACCTCCTGATGCTGAGTGAGGCCAGTCTGGGCAGTGGAACATGTTTACATCTGACAGAG